ATATGTTTCCAGACAAAAGGAGACAGTTGTATGTGTCTCCTTTGTGTATTAGTGTCTCCTTTTTTTTATTTATTTGTTTTTTTTCTTCTTTTGTTTATTTATTTATATTTATTTAACTAATTAATTATATTAATTAAATATATATATATATATATAAAGAAGAGAGCAGCAGCAGCTGCTGCTGCTGCTGTTGCTGCTGTTGCTGCTGTTGCTGCTGCTGCTGCTAAAAGGAGACAGCAGGACCGTGAGCAGTTATAAGGAGGATAAAATAAATAAATAAATAAATAAATAAAATAAATAAATAAATAAATATAATAAATAAATAAATAAATAAATAAAATAAATAAAAAAAGACAAAAAAGGAGACAAAAAAGGAGACACTCATAAGGGGCCGCTAAGGACGCCTCACCGTGCTTAGTGGCCAGCGGCCACCTGCTGCTGCTGCTGCTGCTGCTGCTGCTGCTGCTGCTGCTGCTGCTGCTGCAGTATGCATGTCTTCTGTATATAAATAATATTTTATTTGTTTTATTTATAATTAAATATAATAAATAAATAAGGAATAAGAAGAAGAAGGTGCAGCAACAGCAGCAACAGCAGCAGCAGCAGCAGGAGAGGTCACCTTCCCTTGTAGATAATAATTGTCTCCTTTTATGTGTCTCTTTTTATATATATATTTATTTATTTATATATAATATAAATAAATTCTTTTTTTTTTATTTATTTGTCTCTTTTATATACATAAAAAGAGACAAAAAAGGAGACAAAAAAAAAGGAGACTCTTCTTCTTCTTTCTTACTACTAGCTGTCTCCTTTTTTTTTTCTTCTTTTTTTTTCTTCTTATATATATATATATATATATATATAAGGGAGACAAAAAAGGAGACACTTATATAGTATAAAGGAGACAATATATTTATTGTCTCCTTTTCTTTATTCTTTGCAGCAAACAGCAACTCTACGGTGTACACGCAGCAGCACTGCAGCAGCAGCAGCAGCCACAGCAGCACAAGCAGCAGCAGCAGCAGCAACAGCAGCAACAGTATTATAATTCATAGACTGTCTGAATCAAGATCTTCAATTTGTTGCAGCAGCAGCAGCAGCAGCAGCAGCAGCAGCACAGCAGCCGCAGCAACAGCCGCAATAGCAGCTGCAGCAGCAACTGCAGCAGCAGCAGCAACAGCAGCAGCAGCACCTTCTGCTGCTGTTTGTCTCTTTTTTTTTTTCTTTTTTTTTTTCTCCTTAATAAATACCCATGTGCAGCAAGAAGGGAACAAAAGGAGACAAAAGGAGACAAAAGGAGACAAATAAATAAATTAAATAAATAAATAAATAAATAAATAAATAAATAAATAAATAAATAAATAAATAAATAAATAATAATTATTAATAAGGAGATAAATAAGGAGATAAATAAGGAGACAAATAAGGAGACAAGGGAGGAGACAGGGGAGGAGACAGGGGAGGAAAGAGGGGAGGAAAGAAAAAAAGGAGAAAAAAGGAGACAGGGGAGGAGACACCTCACCATGATGGAGAGGAATAGCTGTCTCCTTTTCCCCTTAAGGGGTAATAAGAGAGTATTTCCTGCTGCAGTGCTGCTGCTGCTGCTGCTGCTGCTGCTGATTGCTGCAGCAGCACCAACAGCAACAAATGCTCTATATAACAACAAAAAAATTATTAATAATATTTATTTGTCTCCTTATAAGGGAGACAGTTCCCTTATTGATCCTTATTCTCTTGCTGAGGTTGCTGCTGAGGAGACAGCAGCAGCAGCAGCAGCAGCAGCAGCAGCCAGCAGCAAGAGCAAAAATACCAGCACCAGCACCAGCAGCAGCAGCAGCAGCAAGACTGCTGCTGCAGGAGACAGCGTGAAGGAGACAGCAGCAGATGGTGACGAAGAAGAAGAGACAGCAGCAAAAGAAGAAAAGGAGACACAAGAAGAAAAGGAGACACATAAGGAGACACACAGCAGCAGCAGCAGCAGCAGCAATAAAAAAGGAGACACTGCAGCAGCAGCAGGAGAAGCAGCAGAAGACTCCAAACGCAGCAGCAGCACGACAAAGACTTATCCTCTTCGCAGCAGAAGCAGCAGCAGCAACAGCAGCAAGACCAACAACAGCAGCAGCAGCAGCAGCAGCAGCAGCAGCAGCAGCAGCAGCAAAGGAGACACTCGCCGTTCTTCAGATACAGACACAGATAAAGGAAAAGGAGACAGTACATCTCCATCATCATCTACTGCTGCTGCTACTCCCTCTGCTGCTGCTCCCTCTGCAGCAGCAGCAGCAGCAGCAGCAGCAGCAGCAGCAGCAGATGAGGAAGAAGACTTATATAATGCAGCACAAGAGCTAAAACGTTTAGTTATGGAGTTAGAGTTAGGAGACGATCCAGCAGCAGCAGCAGCAGCTGCAGCAGCAGCAGCAGCAGCAGCAGGAGGACCATCAGGAGCAAGAGGAGAAGAAGAAGAAGAAGAAGAAGGAGAGAATAAGAAGATATCTCCTCTGCTGCTGCTGCTGCAGGAGCAGCAAGAAGAAGAAGAAATAATAAGAGAATATATAATAAAATGTTATAATAAACATAAACAAGTTGGGGTGTCTCTGCAGCAAGCAATGATTAATTATATTATTAATATGCAGCAGCAGCAGCAGCGTGCTGCTGCTGCTGCTGCTGTTCTTACTGTATCTAATATAAGAGAACAAGCAGCAGAAGCAGCAGCAGCAAAACAAGCTGCAACAACAAATAATACAGCAGCAGCAGTATATTATATAATATAATAAAAAATATAGGTATAGATATACAAATATTAAATAAGGAATGTAATAAATTATCTATGGTTGTGCAGCAGCTGCAGCAGCAGCAGCAGCACAGGCAGCAGCAGCAGCAGCAGCAGCAGAAAAAAAAACAAAAAAAAGGAGAACAACAAGACCACCAGGAGCAAGAGCAGCAACAACAGCAGCAGCAGCAGCAGCAGCAGCAAGAGCAGCGGCAAATAGAGGAAGAGGAGCTAGATACAATAATAAATCCTTATATAGGTCCTGTTGCTTCCTTGTCTCCTTATAGTGTCTCCTCTTTGTCTCTTTATTCTCCTTTGCTGCTAGCAGCAGCAGATCAACAATATATGCAGCAGCAGCAGCAGCAGCAGCAGCAGCAAGAAGAAGCAGAAGAAGCAGAAGCAGAGGAAGAAGAAGGAGAAGGAGGATTAGGAGGATTAGGGATACATAAGGAGACAGCAGCAGCAGAAGCAGCAGAAGAATCTGCTGCTGCTGCTGCAGCAGCAGCAGCAGCAGCAGCAGCTGCTGCTGCTGATAGTAGTAGAGGTGTCTCCTTTCCTACACAACATTATAATTATATAAAGATGCCTACTATTAATAAAAAAAGGAGACACTTTTTTTCTTTGTCTCCTCCCCTCCTGTCTCCTTCTTCTCCCTTGTCTCCTCCTCCTTCCTTGTCTCCTTCTCCTTCCTTGTCTCCTTATGTATCTCCTTCTTCTTCTGTGTCTCCCTATGTGTCTCCTTTTGCTGCTGATGAGGAGACACAGGAGGCAGCAGCAGCAGCAGCAGCAGCAGAAGCAGCAAGAGCAGCAACATTAGGATTGTCTCCTTCTTCTTCCTCTAATACTATTAATGGTTATTTTCCTTATACTATTACTCCTTCCTTGCACCTGCAGCAGCAGCAGCAGCAGCAGCAGCAGCAGCAGCAGCAGCAGCAGCAGCAGCAGCATAATGATGATGATGAATCAGAGATTGTCTCCTTTTTACAGTTAGATACAAAGGAGACACAAGAAGAAGAAAAGGAGACAATAAATAATAATAAGGAGGAAGAAGAAGGAGAAGAAGGAGAAGAAAAGGAGACACAAAGAGGAGGAGGAGGGATAAGAGGGAGGAGACAGCAACTAATGGATGTGCAGCAGCATATCTTTACTGCTGCAGCAACAGCAGCAGAAGCAGCAGAAGAAAAGGAGACACCATCCTCTTCTTTTGTCTCCTTAAGAAACAGCAGCAGCAACAGCAGCAGCAGCAGCAGCAACAGCAGCAATAACAGCAACAGCAGCAAAGAAGGAGGAGAAGAAGGAGAAGAAGGAGAGGGAGAGGAAGAAGAAGAAGGAACAGCAGCAACAAAGGGTAGTGCAGCAGCAGGAGAGAATGTAACAGCAGCAGCAGGAGAGACAGCAGCAGCAGCAGCACCATCAACAGCAGCAGCAGCAACAGCAACAGCAGCAGGAGAAAAAGGAGAAGAAGAAGAGGAAGAAGAAAAGGAGACACCAACAGAGAAAGAAAAAGGAGAAGAAGAAGAAGAAATACATAAAAAGGAGACAAAAGAAAAGGAGACAGTAATAGAGGAAGAGGAAGAAGAAGAAGAAAAAGAGAAACAGCAGCAGCAGCAGCAGCAGCAGCAGGAGCAGCAGCAGCAGCAAGAGCAGCAAGAATCAGCAAAAAGCAGCAAAACAACCGCAACAACGGCTGTAACAGCAGCAGCAGCAACAGCAGCAACAGCAGCAACAGCAGCAACAAAAGAAATGTCTCCTTTAGGAGATTTATTCCCTTTAATTAAGAAAGATGCATGCGAATTAATAACTAGTCCCTTTTTATGCATGCAAAGAAAAGATTGTTTTTATGATTTTATTTATAATATTTGTTTTTTTAATTGTTTAGCTGCCTATACACCCCAATTATGTATACAATCTCCTTTTTGTTATCTAAATAAACAAACTAATCAATGTCTTAATGAAGGTACGCTAATCATTAAATAATTAACTGTTTCCTCTTATTTATTTATTTATTTATTTATTTATTTATTTATTTATTTATTTGTCTCCTTTTTTTTCTTTTTTTTTTCTCTTTTTTTATGTATTATTGAGGTGCCTATACACCCCAATTATGTATACAATATACTTAAACTAATCAATTTCTTAATAAGGGTAAGAAGTGTCTCCTTTTATTTATTTATTTATTTATTTATTTACTGTCTCCTTTTTATTTACTGTCTCTTTTTTTTTCTCCTCTTTT